AGGGTGGGTGGGTGTGTGTTTGTGTATGTATGTGTGTGTGTCTGTGTGTGTACTTGTGTTTGTGCGCCAGTGTGTGAGTGTATGTGAGTGTGTGTGTGTGTACGTGAGTGTGTATGTGCGTGTGTGTGCAAGGCTGTGTGAGTGTGTGTGTGTGTGTCAGTGTGTGTGTGTGTGTTTCAGTGTGTGTGTGTGTGTGTGTGTGTGTGTGTGTACTTATTTGTGTGTGAATGTGCGTGTGTGTTTATGTGTGTGTGTCTGTGTGTATGTGCAAAAGAGCGAGCGAGAGAGAGAGAGAGAGAGAGAGAGAGAGAGAGAGAGAGAGAGAGAGAGAGAGAGAGATACGGGGCAATGAAGTGTTAGTTCGAGTTGTAACAAAAGACTGCTATTATTGATGTGACAACGATAGATAAAGCAGTTGTAGTTTTTTTAAATCTCCTTTTCTCGCCATAGTTTTTGTCCTATCTTTTCTGCCGTGAGAACTGCACTATAAGGGAATTTTTTGTCTAAAACTAGACCCCATCCCGCTATAAAAGAATTGGGGACATCTACGTTTGATCATTCTACTCAGAACAGCTATAATCATGGTGAGTACAGACAGAAGTTGTAGATGTCCTCCGCGTCTCTGTTGTGTAGATAAAGGAAAAGTCTGTTGCATAGAGACAGGAAATAACTACTGTTCTATATATGGAAGGGAAAAGTCTATTGTATACAGAAAAGAAGTCTGTTCTATAGAATAAAGAAACGTTTGTTGTATAGAGAAAGGAAGTCTGTTCTATAGAGAAAGGAAGTCTGTTGTATACAGAAAGGAAACGTCAGTTAGGTGCCTACTCTGAACTCTGAACTAGGCTGAACCATGGAAGAAGGTCAAAGTCTTTTTAAGAAAAACAAAGATAGCTCTGGGAGGCCAAAGTCTGCCTACACAAATCAAGCTGGCAAACTTTTTTACTTTTTACTTTTTCATCCTCTGTTGCTGTTAATCGTCGAGGGGAGATACAGTTTTCCCATGGTAGGCCAGCTCCGCAGCTCTTTTAGTTGTGATGTTATGTTTTGTTAGGGTTTCCTTGACACCCTCGATCACTCTTTTGCGTGGCCTTCCTTTTCCTTTATAGCCTGAGTGCTTGGTGTTGTAGGCTCTCGAGGCAGGTTGGCCTGGTGACATACGTAACAGGTGACCAAATCATTTTATTCTCTGTCTTTCTATGTAATGCAGGCAGGATTCAATGCTCTTACTTCTTCATTTCTCTGCCTGTCTCGTCTAGTGATGTTACGGGTTTTGCGGAGACATTTTATTTCGCATGCAGCTATTTTACTTTCATGGGTTTTATTTAATGTCCAGGTCTGGCACTGGTAGCATAATGTTGGTATGTATTAATATTGAGATGATAACCATAGAAGAAGTTCAGTCTTTTTAAGAGGAACAAAGATTGCAGTGGGAGGCCAAAGTCTGCCTATACAAATCAGGTTGGCATAAAAGCTGCAAAATCAAAATCTTTAAAAAGAACGTTGCAACAGAAGCTACTGCACATTTCCACAGTGCCCTATAAGAGAGGCGCACTGGCCGTGAAGATAATGAAGTCATTGATTAAAGACGCTTACGATCATGTTGAGTGAAGAATCTAACTCATGTACAGTGGAGTCCACCTAAGGTGAACACGCTTAATTTGAACAATCGGTTAAAGTGAACGATATTATGCGGTCCCGATTGAAACTCTATTTGTTTAAGTAAAATAAAAACAGTGGATAAAATAAACCGGTTTCATTGGCAAATCGGTTAAAGTGAACCCTGAAATTAGTGAAAGCGAAGAAGGGACCGACCTTGCTACCGTCTCCATGCTGTGAAAATAACATTCTTATTGTCTCAGATATCGGCAGATAAACCCCAGCTCAGCGTTGGCAACGACAATCATAAAGAAAGAGCTCTCGTTTAGGCTCTCCCACTGTGTTG